CCTTAATGTTCACCAAGGCCAGCCTATTTTATGTTGAAATCACACAGTTGAATATCCTGATCTTGTTGCTTCTTCTAGGACTAAAAAGAGGCATATGTTATTGGTTGTAGGGTAAGATCTGACTGTGTAAGCTGGTTTATTAATGAATGAAAACACAAAACCAATGCATATGTTATACTTGCATTTTTAGAATGGGCAACAATGAATAGCTTTTGAAAACAAATTTCAGGAAGAGATAAACAATCAACAAACGCATCAACAGAAACCCCTCCTATATCACGACCTTGAATTCAATGAAGATTAATATCAGACCAACTTATTAGATGATTGACTGTTTTATCACTTTTGCTTTATGACATTTGTTACTCCATCATTAGGATAATAGGATTTCTATCCTTTTATTCACTTCTATGCATTTTAAGACAATTTAAAGACAATTTTATTACTATATTATAAGACTACTATATTTAAATATTTTTTATATTTAATTAATACCAGGCCGAGTAATCACCGAGTAATCCCGAGTAATCGGTAGCAACTCGGTCAAGGGCCGAGTAGCCAGTAAACTACTTAGTAAATGACTGAAACTGATAAAAGTAAGAAAGAAGATAGATTGAAAAAACAAAATGAAAGGATCACGAAGAAGATGACAAGATAAATGAAAACTACAAGCTGAAAAAGAAGAAAGAACATGGGAAGATGAAGAAGATGAATGTGTTTTAGCGCTGTGCATGTTGCGCAAGAGTTTTCCCACGGCTAAATAGGGCTTAATATGGGTTTAAGTTGTGTTTACCTATTTTTGGACGGGCTAAATCTTATTATTAGTATGGGCTTGTTATTTAAAATAGGATCAAACAAAAAAAAAATAGGCTGATACACCTTTCCCAGCCCAGGCGACCAAAGCCTTTTCTCGCATCGGCGCTTCTGCGCTTTAGGCGCCTAAGCTGCGCCTGAGACAGGAGGGTGTGCCTGGTCATCTTTCAAGCGCTGGACCTCTATTGCGATGCGCCTCGTGCGCTTTTGCGCTGAAGCGCTCGACTTTGACTACCTTGAGCGCTACACCTGTTCAGTACTTTGCAAATTTAAATTTATACATGCTTTGCATGTTTAAAAAATGAAAACATGTGTGTAACACCCTGATTGTTTAGCATGTTGTATTCATATTAACTACTGCATTTTGTTAATACATTAATTAGGCCACTTTCATGAATGATGTAATTTATTATTTCATCATATTTTGTTAGTGTCAGATAACGTCGTTGACCTGTATGCTCTAATAATTTATAATGAATAAATATATATTTTTACATAGTTTAGCAATTTATTCTGAAAAGGGTGAATCCTTTTAAATTGGGTCAGAACATTCTTTTTGAGGATCATTAGACACCCAAATAAGTAATTTGACCCGACTGACATTGTTTAGAGACTAAAATGTCTGGTTTGTATACACATAGCCTTTATTAAACCTGTTGAAAAGCTGGTTACATTCCTCCTAGCAGTTGCTCCTTTCTTCTTTCCTTTCTCAAAATGTCATATTCTCTATTTAAAAGAGAACTATTCAGAGCTTTGGATCACCAATTTACTAATGCCTTTTTGGGTTTATGAAGCTTTTGGGTTATCTATCAATGGCCATTCAAATGAAATAATACTTGCATGAGAGGCTATGTTATGCACGGCTGCACAATTGATTTCTCAAATTACTGAAATTAGGGTTTAATTTTTGTGTTGGAATCTGTGGGATCAGAGCCTCGAATTAGGGTTTATATTTTAAGCTCCTGCACTATAGCGGAGAGGCATCCGACTTCGAATCATTGTTTTAAAGAAGAGGGATGTTTTGAATTTTGAAATTTCTTATTTACAATTTCAACCATTAATCAACAGAGGTGCTTACTTGAACACTTATCCAAGGTGCCACACTTATTTCAATATTTTGAGTTCATGTTTTAACATTTAAGTTCACTACTACCTTTACAGGCTTGTTCAACCAAAAGAAAGAAGTTTGATTGATTTTAAAATAGATAATAATAAGTACACGTGGTCATATGTGATTAGTTGTTGTATTTGTTGAACTTGTGATCCACTAGTTCTTTGGCATATATAAGATCATGCTAGTTACGTCACTTTAAGTTGTTTAGTGATGTTTTAATCAAATGTCACCATAAAAAGAATCAATAATTAATGCGAGGAGTTATCATAAATAATAATTTTGATGCTTAGTGAGTTGCTCCCCTGAACTGGCGGAATGACATCATTGAGCACAGATCACGGGCCCAAAGTAAAAATTGTCCACATAAAGTTAAAATTACACGAGATCTCTTTTAGCAGGTTATTTTAGAAAAGATTTTGAGGTTTCTCTGAAAACTTCTAAAAACAATTTTTAAAAAGTTGTTTGAGATGTTTTCAAAAAAAAAAAGTTGTTTGAGTTCACATTTGAAAATTGAAAGCTTGAACAATTTTTTAAAAAGTTTTACTTTCACGTTTGCCAACACACAATTTTGACTTTAATCATCTTTAATTATGTATTACTATATTAGTAAACATTAGTAGATACTTAAAAAGTAATGGATTCCCTTGAGAATGTTAATAGGCTTAAAGTCATTTGTGACATATTACCCAATTCTGCCTAGAATTTTGGCCAAAGCTTATCTATTCACAATTAGCATAGACGTGTGGAATGTTTTTTTGTGTGGATTATTCAGTGTAATCTTACAAGTGTTTCTTCGCATGTACAGATACCGATCTAGGAAGACTGATCTAGGAAGATAATGATCGATTTGAAAGGTGGTGCCAAGACTGATCTAGGAAGATAATGATCGATTTGAAAGGTGGTGTGGCACGATGAGTTAACGTGAAAGACCTTGACTAGTTATATATATATACTTGAGTTATTAACGTCAGTTTAAATTTGAGTAAGTCTCTTTTGTTAATGTTTATCTATTAATCCTATTATGGAGTCATATTTTTATGAGTTACTTTTCAGTGTAAACAATTGTTATACTTTTTAATCTTTCGGAATATTAAGACATTAAGTAATTAAGTAATTGTAATGTGTGTTGCCTTTACATTGTGTAGACTGTACAGTGTCAGAGTGTGGCTGAAATATTAATTGAACATTGTAGTCAGTAGACAGATGCTCCAAATAGGGATGGCCCTGTCCGCCGGTCCGGTACCTATTCGGGCCCGGGTGGGCTTGATTATCTGGGGACTGGGGACTGGCCGACTGGGGTGAAGCCTGGCATCGGCCCGGGAATTAACTGGTACTGGGCCCGTTCTGGGCTGGGCCTGCTCTTTTATTTTTTTAGTTTTTCTTATTTACTAGTAATCCACCTAAGCCTGGACTCGGGCCGGGCGGCTCGACCCGGAACTGGCCCGGCCCGGCCACTGTAGCAACCGGCCCGGCCTGGTGGCCTGGTCCACCAGCGGTTCGGGTCGAACCGGCCCGGTGGTTCCTGGTTCCGGGCCCGGGCCTTCCATATGGTGAACCGGCCCGGCCGGTTCGGGCCCGGTCTGGGCCGGATTTTTTTTTTGAATTTTTTTTAATGTTTTGGGTTGGAATAGGTATTTTGGGCCATTTGAGGTGGTTTGGGGTTGAGGGGGAGGGGTAGGGGATTAAATAGGAGAACCAAAAAAAAATTAATTGGGCCGATTTGGCCCGGCCCGGTTTGGCCCGGAACCGGAACCGGCCACTGGCGGTTCGGGCTCGGGCCTCCCCTTTCCTGGCCCGAGGCCGGTCGGGCCCAGACCCGAACCGGCCCGAGTCCAGGCCTAAATCCACCAATGCAATTTTCAAAATACAATGAGGCATTGAAATTAATTCCCTAGTCAATTCTTCCAAGATAGGCCTGGGTTGGGTGTTTTGGGGGTGAGTGAGGAAAGGAGGGGGGGGGGGGGGGGGGTTGGGGGTTGAAAACAAAAGAAAAAAATAAAAATAAAATTAACCGGAACTGGCTTGGTTTTGGCCCGTTCCGGAACTGCCTGCTACTCGGGCCGGTTCTGATTCCACTTTTCCCAAATAAAAGCCCGGCCAGGCCCAAGCCGAATCCACCCCTAATATTTGGGCCTTGATAAGTCTCAATCAAAACATCAAATGGAATAACTTTCCCTCATTTCAGCCTGATATAGTACTTCTTCAGCATTAGTTACACTATTCACCAACACCACAATTAATTCCACTTACACTTGTATGGGTGGACTTGGGCCGGGTGGCCCGACCGGAACCGGACCGGCCTGGCATTTTTTGGGCCCTGCCCAAACCGGTGGCTTGGCCAGGGATCGGTCTGGGTAGGCCCGGCCCGGGGGTTTCCGGTGCGGGCGCGGGTCACCCAAAACACAAACCGTCCTTGCCGTTCCTGGCCGGGTTCGTTTTCTTTCTTCCAATTTTATTTTGTTTATTATGGGTTGGGGCTGGGTGTTTTGGGGGGTAAGGGGTAGGGCTGGACTCGGGCTACACATTCAAAAGTGCACTTCAAAATAGTGTCAAACAGTGTCTAAACAGTGTCAAACAATGTCTAAACATTGCCAAATAGTGTCTAAACAGTGTCAAACAGTGTCTAAAAAGTAAAATCAAATTTATTTCCTAAATATGTGTGTAGGTCAAAGTATGAAGTTAATAGCGGGACGGAGAGAGTATTATTTCTTTCTCACATAAGCAAAAAACATGATAAAAAATTAATTCGATAGATTCAAATAAAAAATAAAAAACATAAATAAAATATACTAGAAACTTAATTTAAGATAGGACATCTAAAACTAATTTAAAAAAAAAACTCAAAAGAAATCCGTGTTGTGTCCTATCATACACCACAATTAAAAACAAAAAGTTACTACTTCCGTCTCTAATAAAACTTCCAAAGGAGACTCACGCCCATCTCCTTCCCCTCATCATCCGGCCTTTCCTCTCCGTGGTTATTTTCAAAGAATGCCTTGCGGTATAAGGGCGGTTGTGCCACCGGTAAGGCTACTCAAATATGATTTTTCGAAGGTCTGCCCCTGCAACGAATGTTCCGAGAAGACAAAGGCGATTGTGGAATTTGACAACTATCTACACTCTAAATTTGCCCAAATCCAGGTACGAGAAAAATAACGCACAATTTTCCACGCTCAACTAATTATATATTTATTTATTTATTTATTTATTTATTTATTTATTTATTTATTTATTTATTTATTTATTTATTTATTTATTTATTTATTTATTTATTTATTTATTTATTTATTTATTTATTTATCTATTTATTTGTTTGTTTATGTGTCTATGTATCTATATATGCGTTTAGTCATTCATTTACTCATTCATTTCGTTGATTGATTTGTTTATTCATTTATTTGTAAACAGGCACCTTATACGCAACTGTTTTTTGATATCGAAAGCTTTACGTCTCTTGTATCTGCCTTTTTGGACACAACAGAGACATGGACTTGTCTTCAACATAGCCTTAAAAGTCTACACGAGGTGAGTGATTTCACTGTCGTCCTCAGTGTAATTTTTAAGTGGGAAGTTTGCCACCTGTAATGTGTTTCATGATATACGGAGTATTTGTTTCAGAAGTCCGGGGTTCCGCTCAGAAGAAGTAAATCTGAAGAACATATAAGAGATGTATTCAATCAAACTGGTACTTTCCTAGTAAATGAAGGGGAACTGGATAAATTTGTGCTTCAAGATGAATGTGAGGGTCATGATGATAAACCCACTCATCTTGATGATAAAATATTTGCTATGGTAAGACACTAGATTATAGAGATTTAGGAATATTCCAGATACACATGTAGAAATCCAGACGATGCATTGAAATCGATTGAAGAAAAATATCCGCCAAAAAAATTATATCTTTTCATTTCTTCTGTTCCCAATATATACGTAGTAAGGAGTACCTTTTTCTTAATAGTATATTGTGTTAAATACACTCAAAGGCGTTTTGTATTTTATGCTCACCAGTATTTATGTTCCTTTGAAGAAATAAGTCATTTTAATGATGCGTTGGAACCTTACCTCCCACCATTCTATCACTTTTTTGTGTTTGTGACTTTGCCTCGCTTAAAATCTATCTTAAAATGATACATGTTCTTTTATGGCTTTTCTTTTGACAGTATGGGTGGTTCGAACTCACCAAATTTAAGGATGTTGTGCATAACATCCTCAAGAAGATGAAAGAGCTTGAAAATCAAGAAGATCAAGATGGGAAGTCTGCTGAAGAAGGAAAAATGTCTCTGAACCTTTCAAACTCCAAGAGGCACTTGGAAGACCAAATGAAGGCCAGAATATCTACTTGTGAACAATTTTGTTTCTTTCCTTTTTTGCTTATGTCGTCTCTGTTTGGAGTATCGTATCTAATGATATCATACCATGCCGTACTGTACCATACCATATCACATCACACGGCTCCTTGATGCCTAGATGTCACCTAGGTGACAAGGCCGCTCGTTGACACCGCACCTTGCTTACACGCTGTGACCTTGGTTGGAGTATTCTTAGGCCTTGACTAATTCCATTCAATCATTCTTTGTCCATGCTGTTTCTCTGATTGGAGTATTTATTACTCCCTCCGTCCCATAATTATCTTCATTCTTTCCTTTTTGGTTCGTCCCAAATTTATCTCCTCTTTCCTTTTTTAGCAAAGGATTTGTGGTTTACAACCATTCTTACACATTTCTCTCTCCTCTTCACAACTCTCCACCACACATTTCCCACTTTCTTAATCTCCGTGCCCAGTCAAAACCGAAGTTAATTCTGGGACGGAGGGAGTATGTCTCTATTATAGCTTTTTAAAGGATTTCCATTTGAAGATATGTGCGTAGAGATTAAAAGGCTTGTGAGGAGAGGAGGTAAAAAATATCGAAACTTGGTTGAAGACGCTATGGAAGTAATCTGGGAGACTTATCGTGCGCGGGTTGCTATTAGAAGGAGCTTTCACGAACAATCTGAAATGGTAATATGTTGCTCTCTGATTTGTAGCAAAATACATATTGTAATTATTGCCATTCTCATTGCACCTAACCCTATGTTTGTTTGTATAGATCTCTCGCCACCCGTGCAATATGGATAGAGAGAAACACCTGCCGAATGAATTGGGAGATTTTCTTGATTCTTTACTCAATCAGGTTTACTAAAGTTATATAGCTTCCCCACCCCCTGTTTTTGCTATTTTTGAACCACAAAGTTTCTCCATTGAATTAGGCTAAAACATTTAGAGAAGTGTGGGACAGTATCGAGGGAAGACTCTTTGGTCCATCTGAAGAACCAGACCCTAAGAAACAAAAGTCATAGCACTCATAGCAAACGTGCTCTAATGTAAAGTAAGTCTTCTGATCATGTTAGTTATGTCACTTTAAAAGAATCAATATTTTATGCGAGTTATCATAAGTAATAATTTTGATGCTCAGTGAGTTCATTGAGTACAGATCACGGGCCCAAAGTAAACATAGGCCACATAAAGTTAAAGTTGAACGAGATCTGTTTTAGCGAGTTATTTTAGAAAAGATTTTGAGGTCTCTCTTGAAAACATTTCCAAAAATGAATTTTTTGAAAGTTTGAGATCACATTGAAAGCTTTAACACAATTTTTTAGAAAGTTTGACTTTCATGCTTGCCTACACACAATTTTGACTTTAATCATCTTTAATTATGTATTAGTAAAGATTAGTAGATACGCTTTTGGATCTTTTTAGGGACAACTTGAAAAGAGTTTTTTGGCTAAAGGGTCAAATAGGCCCTCCAACTAATTTAAAAAGTGCAATTCGATCCTTATATAGCATGTTTTGCCCGGCCGTCACCAATTGGGGCGGTTCCCAGTGGAATTTTTTGATGAAATTTTTTCAGCATCTTCTTCATTAAGTCTAGTTTACTCATACCAAATTTCAGCTAAAAATTCAACCGAGAAGGCAGTCAAATAATTTTTTGGAGATAACTACGAAGTTAAACAACGCAGTACATTTCAGAAAATCATTTGACTGCCTTCCTGGTTGAATTTGTAGCTGAAATTTGGTATGGCTAAACTAGACTTAATGAAGAAGATCCTCAAAAAATTTAATCAAAAAATTCCACCGGGAACCGCCCCAATTAGCGACGGCCGGGCAGAACCTCCTATATAAGGGGCTAATTGAACACTTCAAGTCAGTTTAAGGGCCTATTTGACCCTTTAGCCTTTTTTTTACAGATTCCCTTGAGAAAGTTAATAGGCTTGGAGTCATTTGTGACATATTTGCCAATTCTGCTAAGACTTATGGCCAAAGCCCGCTTATCTATTCACAATTAGCATAGACGTGTGGAATGTTTTTTTTATGGATTCGTAGTGGCTTTTTAAGTGTAATCTTACAAGTGTTTCTCTGCACATACAGATACTGATCTAGGAAGACTGGTCTAGGAAGACAATGACCGGTTTGAACGGTGGTGTGGCATGATGAGTTAACGTGAAAGACCTTGACTGGTTATATATATATATATATATATATATATATATATAGAGTAGTCTTCTTGTCCAGCCGGCCTGACGGGAACCGCCGTCCGGCCGAGGGCATTTCGGGTACTTTCTGATGGAATTTTTTGATGAAATTTTTTGAGCATGTTCTTCATGAAGTCTAGTTTGTCCATACCAAATTTCAGCTCAAAATTCGATCGGGAAGGCATTCAAATAATTTTGTGAAGTTAACTGGGCAGTTTATATGTATGAACTGCCCAGTTAACTTCAAGAAATTATTTGAATGCCTTCCCGATCGAATTTTGAGCTGAAATTTGGTATGGATAAACTAGACTTCATGAAGAACATGCTCAAAAAATTTCATCAAAAAATTACATCGGGAAGTACCCGAAATGCCCTCGGCCGGACGGCGGTTCCCGTCAGGCCGGCTGGACATGAAAAGTCCTCTATATATATATATATATATATATATATATATATATATATATTTATTTATTTATTTATTTATATAATTATTTGAGTTTTTAAATTTGAGCAAGTCTCTTTTGTTTATATTAGTAAATCCCTGATGCATGTGGATGTTATTTAGCTATCATGGAGTCATATTTTTATGAGTTACTTTTCAGCTTAAACCATTGTTATAGTGTGGTTGTCTAAACTTTTCCAGATATTCGTATTTAGTCTATACATATGCTTTTGTGCCCTAAACGTATTAATTGAACATTGTAGACTGATGCTCCAAATAGGGATGGCCTGTTTTGGGTCAGGCCCGGAGTGCGGGCGGGCTTGGTTTTTCTGAGGTGAAGCCTGCACCGGCTTGGGAATCAACCGGTAGTGGGGCAGGCTGTTTTTTTTTATTTTTTTAATTTTTCTTATTTATTCCAACCATGACCCCCCCCCCGGAAACCCAAAAAACCAAAGAAAAAGAAAAAAGTCCTGGAATTGTGGCAGTCTGGTTCCCAGGCTGGTTAGACTAGGGCTGGACCTGGTTCGGGCCCAGCTTGGCTTTTGTTTGGGAAAGGTGGAACCGGCCCGAGTAGCTGGCGGTTCTGGGTTGGGCCAGGCCACTTGGCGCCTGGCAGTTTATTGGGCTGGTTCCGGGCTAAATGTATTTTTTTTTGGTTGTCCAATGAATTTAAGAGAGTTGATATATACAAAAAGTTCAAGTATATTTATTTGAAATTAGAAGTACAATTGAAGTACAATTGAGAATTGCGAAAAATTAAATAAATGAGTTAAATTTTGTAATAGATAATCAATCGGAATTTCTGCTTTCAGTTGTTTCCTACAAAGTGGCGGGTGGAGGTGATTGTCATTTCTTGAGTTCTATGTTGGGCCTTCAACCAATTGTAGAACAAACAAGTGTCTCAAGAGACTTTGGACTCAATCTTGTCCTATAATCAGTTAGAACGTTGAACGTTGCCGGTCGCACTAAGGTGTGGTTCTCTTTGTCTTATTCTTACTACCTCTGTCCCCCTAAGTTTGGGACAGGAGAAGGTGGCACGGTTATTAATAAAAATGGGTTTATGTGGTTGATATTGAATTGAAAAAGTAAGAATAAAGTAGGAATGATTTAGAACCACACAAACTTTACCAAATAAGGTATGAGACAATCTTAGTGGGATGGACCGAAATGGTAAAATGGGACAATCATGGGATAATTTCAGCTTTTTTAAGTCAAAAGCTGAAAAACTTTTTTTTAATTTTTTGCAAACACTCCCTAATTTTTTTTATAAACTTATATTAAAAATGTCTCAAACGGCCACTACCCCCTCCAATTTTATAATCTCAAATTGTCATAACCCCATCCCAAACTACCTAGGAAAGTAACTTATTTGGTTTCGTTAACAAGATTAGTATTATGTCTATATGTATACTTATTTGGCGTTTTAATATGCAAAATAGTTGTTCCCGTGCATCGCACGGGTACCATACTAGTTATAGAAAAAGGACAATTTCAATGATGGATAATGAACTTGGTGAATCTATTTATAATAAAGATATACTTCGTAAATAAAAAGTATTTGTTTAAAAATACACAAATAAACCTATTCTATTAACCATGTCTGTCACCTTCAAAACTTTTATGGAGCCCTATATGACTCCACTATAGAGTCATATAACACATGTGGCATTATCACAATCATTCAATTCTATAGTGGATTTATAGTGGAGGACCCTACTTCATGAATGAAATCAATAGTTTTTTATAGGGATAAGGGTCAGATATGGCCTCGAGCTTGAAAAAAATGTCAAATAAGACCGACCATATTTAGGATGCTCTGTCCAGCCGACGCCATTTGGGGTGGTTCCCGGTGGAATTTTTTGATGAAATTTTTTGAGAATCTTATTCATTAAGTCTAGTTTACTCATATCAAATTTGAACTAACAATTCAATCGGGAAGGTATTCAAATGAATTCATGAAGATAACTGCGCTTTAAACGGTACAGTTATCTTCAAGAATTCATTTGAATGCCTTCTCGATTAAAATTTTAGTTCAAATTTGATATGAGTAAACTAGACTTAATGAATAAGATTCTCAAAAAAAATACATCAAAAAATTCTACCGGGAACCACCCCAAATGGCGTCGGCCGGACAGAGCATCCTAAATATGACCTTATTTGACATTTTTTTCAAGTTCGAGACCTTATCCGACCCTTATCTCTTTTTTATACATGACTCCATAGTGGAGTCATATAGGGTTCCATAAAATTTTCCCTTTCACCTAGCCTTTTTACACTAACATACAGTGGAGTCAACTATTTTTACACTAACAATTAAAGCTTTTTTAAAAGTTGGATGTGTCCGGGCCAAGGGCATAATATGCTCCAAACATTGTGAAACAATGAGATGAAAAGTCAAATAATTTAATACTAAATGGGTATAGAATGATGTGCAAATTAAAGTTCAATATCACTCAAATAATTTCCCGCACCTTTTGAACATTGGAGTTTTTTCCCTAAATAATGCTAATTAAATAAATAATTCCCAAAATACTGTTGGGTTAAAAATAATTCCCAAAATACTGCTGGGTTAACCGTGGTTAAGAAAAGCCGCCACTTAAAGTGGCGGCTCTTATCTTAGAGTACAAAAGCCGCCACTTCAAGTGGCGGCTCTTCTCTTACAGCACATTTTGTACATATATAAAACATAGTATGTTTCAAGAATTTTTTTAACTATCTTCCCGATTGAATTTTGAGCTGAAATTTTGTATGAATAGACTAGACTTGATGAGGAACATGCTAAAAAATATTTCATCAAAAAATTCCACTGGGAAGACCCTCTGATGGTGTTGTCTGCACGGGGGTTCCGGTTAGGACGTCGTGACAACAATAGGACGTTTTTATGAAATTTGAGGTGCTTCCGAGTTGATTTTGTTGATGAAATTTGGTGATCATCTTCTTTCTAAAGTGTAGGTTATGTTCACCGAATTTCAAATTAAATTTAAATCAAGAAGTTAGTTAAATTATTTATTGAAAAAACATGCATTTTTAGGCCTAACAAATTGTGCAAATTTTCAAAAAAATTGTTTAACTAACTTCTCAATTGAAAGGAACCAACTTCAGATTCGAGCTATCACCACCATCATTATGCCCTTAACAAACAATTCTTTCTCTTCCACTCGCTAAATAAATATGAACTCTATTTGGGCTGTTTATGGCCATTGGAAACAGTTTCAACACTCGTATCAACTATTGCTCTAAGTTCCAATTGCAGAATCACAGTTTTGCACAATTCACTTGAGCTCATGTTTGGAAGGCAACAGTAAATTCAAGTTCTGTAATCTAGAGAAGCATGTGTAATCCTACAACATACAAACTATTAATAGAAATGCTCAAAGAAATGTAAAAATGGAAATGCATATCATATATAACACATGCAGCTAAAACATGATGACTTATGGGCAAATTATCACCAAATATGAAACAATAAGAAATTATAAAATATTGCTTACGGGAAATAACATACCAAACGATTTAGTTGCATAATTTCTAAAATTTTCTTGGCAAAAATTTTGCCCCATGCCTTCTGAAAATGTTCATGTAAAGTAGGTCTAAAAGTTGCAATTTTAGGCCTGTTTCATTTGAGCTATTTCCTGGTCGAATTTGTTGATATAATTTGGTGAGCATGTTCCCATGTAATGTAGATATGTCCACCAAATTTTAGATTGAAATTCAATCGGGAAGTTAGTGAGATAAGTTTTTAAAAAATGCATAATTTTTTTGGCTCAAAAATGCAGCTTTTTTCAATAAATTATTTAACTAACTTCTGATTTAATTTTAATCTGAAATTCGGTGGACATAACCTACACTTTAAGATGAACATGATCACCAAATTTTATCAAAAAACTTGACTCGGAAGCCCCTCAAATTTCATAAAAATGTCGCATTCCTGTCACAACGTCCTGACCGGAACCCCTGTGCGGACAACACCATCAGAGGTTCTTCCTGGTGAATTTTTTCGAGAAATATTCGGTTCACCTATGGCGTCCTTAGATAATATCATCATACTAAAATCCGAGATTCAATTAAGTTTTATCACTGGGTCATTGATAGCTGACAACTTTTAGAACATGTTTACTTCACGGGTTACTAAGCGGTGTTTATTAAAACTCGCATTAATAAGCGACGAATAATTCAGCAGTATTGTAATAAGAACATGTTTACTTCAAAAGATTTAAAACACCTCTTTAACATTAAAATGTCCAAAATAACTCTATACATATATAGACACATAAACATTCATGAACACAAGTACATAATATAATATGTGGAGGTACCCTAACCCCTACCCCATCCTACCCCACCCCAACAACCTTAGCCCCTACCTCTTCCTTACCCCTACTCTAACCACGACCTTACCCTCTGCCCCTATTCCCCTCATAACCCCTACCTGTTAGGGGTGGGGTCGGGGTCGAGGTAGGGGCATGTGGTATGGGGTAAAGGGGTAGGGTAAGGGGGGTTGGTTAGGGGTGGTAAGGGCTAGGGGTTAAAATAGGTGGGGGATG